AAGTGCTCGCATTCAATTTTCATTTCTGGTCAAGGGTAAAATGTTCATAGATATTTCATGCTAATGTCATAGAGGGTAGAAGTGATCGGATATCCTCGGTCATAATACTTAAGTACCCATACAAAACCTGACGATATTTGATATGGGGGGTGAAAAATAAAAATTAGCAATAAAACGCGACGAGAATAAGGATCACCTTTTTATTGCTTTGCTCTTATCCAAGGGTTGGGATGCAAAAGAATATTACTGGCGAATATTTACCGGTAATATTTGGGAGAATCATGGCTGTGGTAATAACTAGTAATGAACTGGAAATGGAAAAATATAAATATACATCACGCCTTTTATCCCCGAAGGGGTAGGCAGAGGTGCACACTACGGCACTTAATGCCACTGTACAATGTAACACCTACTTTTCACTATTTATGTTATCAGTCCCATGTAATAGTGGGTGAGCCTATTGACATATACCGGGCACAACTCCAGACTCCAGACTCAGTAATAGTTTGCCCGACTCGGGAATCAAACCAGAAACCCCTTGCACAGCAGACGCACTTGCGACCACTCGGGCAACGAGGCAGTCAATTGAAAAATTGAAAACATGATTTGTTGAGGATCAAACTACGTTATTACAAATCTTTGACATTCAAACAACATAATTCTTATTATAAACCCTATACCCCTATAGATATATCTTTATATATATAACCCTATAGATATATCTTTATTATAAACCCACTTCACTATACTAGAACATTGTTTTTTTATAACTTCTAAATACAAAATCACAACAAACTAAGAACGTTCTTTTTTTGAAGTTAGTTTAAAAAACTAACAACGATTAAACCAGAAATCTCTTTCAACCAACCTACTCGCAGGTTAACGAGATTCACCTAACATGGACAAGTCAAGAGAATATAACAAATTCACTAAATATTTTACACCGTTCATGTGCCTCCTGCCTTACATAAACATAATGTAATATAATATCGTGTCATGTATATATGTGTGTGTTAACCAAACAGTGAATTCGTAATAAGTGACATTAGCAAATAGACACCGGTTTTAATTAATATTAGATAACAAGCCATTTCCATTGTGTCACTACGATTTATTTGTGTCCAACAAAATGGTTTTAATTACTTTTTTTGTTTGGACTCTTTTGATGGAAGAAGCCTGTTTTGTAGGACAAATAAATATAATTAGTTTTCATTTATTGTCCAAAGATTTTTTTCTTGGATAGTTATGCCGTGAAAAATTTTTACTTTTATAAAAGACTCCTTTTTAGTATTCCTGTAATCACCTATGAATTTCAACAAAGACAATTAATTCTTATAGTTGCATTAGTTATTAAGATCTCAGGAATAGAACATTGCACCACAACACGACGACACGGCAACCTTGCCGTGTCCATCCATTGCGGTACATAAACATATATGCGGCACCGTAGTTTTGTTTCCTAAAAGAACAGAATTCATACCGTACCTACTCTTGTTTTCGTCCACAGCAAAAAATAAACATGTCAACAGTACTTTGAATCATTCTATTTCTATCCTAGCCGTTATACTCGCAAATTCAACAAAAATTAAAAGTAGACGAAAAATTTCTTTTTTTTAATGAAAAATAGACGTTTTGCATTATCTCACTGTCTGATTTTTTATGAGAATTACAGGATTAAGTTAATATAACATTTTTATTTCGGTCACGTACAGAATTTTATAGTCGACAGAGGCTGCCTCCTTTTTCGGATTAAAACGTCACTTGCAGATGAATTCCAACGAGACTGACAAAATGTTATAAAGTTAAAAAATCTAGGTTCTTAGTGAAGTTAGAGAAAACATTCACAATTATTATTGTTCGCTCAAAACTTAAATTTTGAAGCATGTAAAGGGACTACTGACTGTATAGTCAGCAGTCCCTTACTACTTACTTACTTGAACTATTACACGCTATGGATATTTTTAAACAGTAAATATGACGAAATATTTTGTTTGGTATTTCTTACTTGGTACTTCGCCTACGCAACTACGGCGTAGCATGCCTCTACGCTCGCTACGTAGCTACGGGCGGCGTAGCAAAACACTACATTACGTATATCTACAAGATACTAAGGAATTGGTTGCACATACTTTTAAATTAATTTCTATCAATATGTAATTTAAGAATAGCTCTTTAAGGTTGTACTTTTCTTACCTTACCTTAAAATCTAAGAAATAATGCATTTAAGCCTGACACATGATATCAGAATATAATCCTACCACAAAGAGAATAAGCCAACACTTTATGTTGTTAATTACATAATAGGTTTTTAACTACCACAAATTCATGTGAAGTTAATTCCCACAATACGCTTTTATTGCACAATGTGATAGTTTTAATTACCAACAATAATACTTTGATTTCAACAACAATTATTGTGGTACGATTTACTTTAAACTAAAAATCGATAATACCTGCATTGAAATAAACGACTTTCATTTAAAATTGTACGTAAATTATTTTAATGAAGCCAATTAAATTATTTACCTTTTGTGGTGATTGGATAAGCAGGACAGTGTTGGTATTTGATACTATCTCAGTACCTTTTTTTTTCAGTATTAAATCTCCTCCTCGGCATTTGGACTTAACCAATGATTCTCAACTTTATGGTGCAATAAATATATTAAAAAAAATGTCTGCCACTAAACCCTTTATCTTGGAGTAACAATTTCATAATAATAAAACCCAACATTTTACTTAGTCCAAAAATATTTAGGAACCCCAATTTATATCAATTAACCGTTAATGCAAACACTACATAAAATTGAATAGTCAACCCACACACGAACAAAATAGTCCACCAATATTTCTACGGACAGAAATTTGCAAAATCACCAAAAGTATCATCGCGTTCCAATCAACTATATTATGTCGGTACATATTTTTCGAGCCACTAATGATGATGTGTGCCTAATGAATGGATGCTCGTCATTAATACCGTGCTGCTCGCTAATGTCCGGTTTCACGCATCGACTACTACTAATTCACCCCCCGCCACCTCTCCCTCTTCCCCTTTTATACGTCACGTCACGTCCACCATAACGCACAGTTCATTACTGTCCGATTTTGCTGTACAATCTCTTAATTACACTGACTTGTTGGCCCACCGCGAATTAAACGAAATAGTTTTTGATCCCGTTTAGCAAACATTCTCTGAAATCCAAACAGAACTCGTGCATAAGCGCCATTATATTATATTCAAAGTTAATCGGTCTGTTCATTAAAACTGCAATGTTGATTTACTATTCGTTTTATGAGACTGTTGTTTGCAACGAAGAGCTTTTCCGTGAAATGCTTCACTGGGCAAATATTCATTACTTTTCACTTTATTGTGTTCACTTTTGAAAAGGAACTTTATGAATAAACACTGTAAATGTACGTTCGATTAAATATGAATTTCATTCGAATGGACTTTTAAGTAATTGTAGAGTCTATCTTATTATTTCGTGTTTTCACACTGTTAGGTACGGCAGGTTTGCACATTGTAGTTCCCGCAATAAACGGAGGCTTAATAAATCATCGGTAAACTGCGCTAAAAGGAACTTAAGCACAATACCTCGGCACCGACTCGTAATTTCCCTCCTTCCCCCCACTACGTCCATATTTTACAGCTCTTTTACCCGTTCATTTTTAAAATACGATGTTCGACAAATTCACTTAATGCCGCGTTAAATGAACCGTGTTCGCATAATAAAAGATTTTATACTCAAAAGCGATTTCAGAATGGACGATATTTCCGTGAAACGAGAAAATGCCGCACTCCACGTCGACGCTTCATCTCGTCTCTAGTAACGTCGGAATATTTTTTTCGCGCTCGAACGACTCCGAATTCCGGGCGAATAAAGTTAAGAAAACACCACATACAAATAACGCTCAGATTACTTTAAATACTCTGGTAAAGTGAGCTCCGAGCTCTTTTCCGGATAATTTATTCGTTTATTAAACAGCCCCGTGAAAAATTATTTTTGTTTAGTTTTTTTTTACTTTTGCTAAGGAAAGTAGGCCTAACTCAGAGCGGAACATTTCATAATCCACGATAACCAACCAAAGTTAATAAAGAAAACACGAAATAAACATTCCCCTTTCCTAGATTACAGCGGGTTATTTAAAAGTGGCTAATTACTGTCCAAAAGCTATGCGAAAAAGTCTCCTTCATTTTATGGGCATGTCATGCTAGGCTCATCATCAAAGGATCGCATAGTTCGGCTTTCATAACGGTTCCGTTGATAAAAGAGAATCCTGGGCTCATTCAAAAATTGTTTTACCTTTTACTCACTGGATATGATTCATAGAAATCCCTCATACTTATTAAATTCCAACTTTTGTTCGAAATAAAATTCAATGAAAGCTTGTAATAGCAATGTTTGGTTTTTTTATTCAACTGTACTTTCATGTTTATTTTTAGTAACTGGGATACAAATACGGCAACTATTTCCGCCTTCAAATAAATGTGTTTATTTAAAAACACGAACAGCCCTCCTCTACATCTTAAAATAAATCCGTATAAGTGAATTCTTCTGTAGATCCCTATCGCAATCCTAAAAGCTTTTTAGCGCATAAAATATTCCCATGTGTGATTTATTTTTGTTGGTGTGTTTTAACCTTTTGCATTGATTACGTATACAATTCAGTGTAAGATCCTAAATTTGTTTACTGGAGCTGAAATAAAAAGGATTTTTAAAGTGTTCTACTTAACCACGTTTTTTCTCGTTTTTACGTGGAAATGAGATAAATGTATAAAATGCATTAGCCGGTTATTTTTCTGGCTCGGCTTCGCGCGAGAACGTTTTACGCGATGAGCTATCCCATAACATTATAACCCCTTTACACATAAATGTACTAAAGAGATAATTTAACTAAAAGGTTCTATAATTATATTGTTGTCTCTTTTGGTTTTGATGAAAATGAAGGGGATGGCATGCTGTTTAGATATTGTGAATTAATGTACAGTTTGTTTTCAGTGGTGGACAGTCACAGAGGTGAGACCCTGGAGTTGGCTCACGTGCAGAGGACTGACATGGGTGCCTACTACTGCATCGCCAGCAATGGGATACCGCCCACAGTCAGCCGACGGTACCACGTGGAAGTGCATTGTAAGCATATACTTTAGATATTTCTGAAACTGCTACGTTTAAATGATCACTGCAGACAACAAGATAGTTACAAAACTATAATCCATTTATTAATTATCCATTTCAATAAATAAAATATATATATTGAAATGAATAAGAATTAATGCATTATATGTAAAATATACCATCTGAGCTCTAAAAAATAAATTAAATCAAGTCAAACTCAGGCACACAAGCATAAACGACAATTTGGACAAAAATACGTTCATGAGATCCGAATTTGAGCCTTCATCATCATAACAAAATTCAGTTTACAGCAACAATCAAGAATTTAAAGAACGTATTAAATGTTATGAATACTTTACTCCTTCTTTCTTCAAAATGAAGTACACTTTATGAATGTCAAAAGATCCGCCCGTTCGATTACTTCGCTCTCCCAAGAAGGGCAAGAACTCAGCCCACAAACTTTACTAAAGTTATTATTCCGTCCGAATATTTTACTTTGGACTTAAACGTCTTTATTTACCGCGGTTTGAATTCACGAAATAAAAAAATGGTAGAATATTCTTGTTTTGTAAAGATCTGGCTACATGCAGTTACTTATTGTGCTAACAGTTTATGCAGACTCAGAGATTAAATACAAAGATTATAACTATATATGGTTTATGAATCACATTCGTATATCGAGGTTCTTGGTGTGATCTCCATCATATCCTGGTTGAGTGTAACACTCTTGGAGAGTTTTTAGAAATCCCGTTTTGCAAAATAATCAGGATTTAGGGTGTACGATGTTGGTTGGATGTTTAGGATTGCTGGGGCTCCGACTCGAATAGCAGAAGTAGGAACGGGGTGGTTTTTAATCAGTAAGACTCTGACACTCTCTCTCGTCTCATGCAAGGCGGGAGAAACCATTTGATGATTTTTGTCCATCAAAACAAGGTTATACGATGTGACGAAACAATGGTCACTTTTTGATACCAAAAAGAGGTGATTTAAGTATGAGTCACAACAAACAAAACAAACAAACACAACAATAAAGAAATTCAAATTAATACTTAACAAAATAAAATATTATCTAGTGAACAAAAACGATCGTGTAACCAGACCCTAAGTTAGCGTGATTGAAAGGCTAAACAGCTACCAAAAAGAACTTTAATTAAAGTTAATGATCGTCTAGGAAATAAGAAACGCTGAAGACATTACAGGAATGAATGAAGGATGCTAAAGAGTTACTTGCAGTTTTGCTTGTCTTCTCTGACTAGTTTCATTTGCTTTTAAATATTATGCAAAACTTTATGGAAATTTTGTAACGGTAACTGAACTCTTTGACTTGAAGTTTTTACCGTTTTATATGAGTGTGTATTAATTTAAGTTTTTTAAAATTCGAAGTTTAATTTTATGTTGCTCTGATTCGTTTTTTGTTTGAGTGTATTCTGTATTAAATTATTAATTCGCGTCGTGAATGATAGATTAATTGTTTTACATAATATGATTCTTATTTATTCGCAATTGTTGTTATGATTATGAAATTCTGGATTGTTCGACGCAATGCCTAACCGAGTATTTACCTACAAAGTACAATAAATTATTATAATTGTAATACCTCAATATTAGTATGTCACGCATAGTCCCCAACTATAGTCAATTAAAAAATATGATAGATTTCTAATACTTAGTTCACCATAAAATATAAAACACGGTTCATTCCATTCAACATGACCTATATATTTTTACCTTTTGCGTACTTAAGTAAAATATGCATCGAATTTTATTTCACAATTTGTTAAAAGAAATACATTTCGATAAACATTCCTAATGGAATTGACTGCTCATCGTTTTCAACGTATCTTTAAGTCCACATTCGCAACTCTGTTAAATTGAACTAAAAGCTTATTTATCTAGCACACACGTTCAACAAATGAAATTTCTTTTTTATCAATAAAGTATGTGAGTTTAAAACAAAAGTATTTGAAAAACCAATTTTCGTTGGAAATGTACCTAATAAAAACCTAATCGCTTTTACTAAACTTTATTCTTTGGTCGTTTTGTTCGTCGTAAATCGTAATGAGAATTGTTGAAATATTATCAATTTCGAGTTTGAACAGCTACCTATAATGACTTTTGTTATGGCAATAATTAAAAATGAACTGTATTAGTATCGAGTTAAATGTGAATTTTCTTTATTTTTCAATCTTTGTAAATAGTAGAGTGCTAATTAAACTATCATCGCTTCTTAAGGTTTTCCTTTCTTTTATTCAATGGCAATGATATTGAATTACCTTTTTTCTCCTCCAGTCATACCGCAAGTCAAAGTCACCAATCAACTAGTAGGAGCTCCACTCGGCAGCGACGTAGAACTCCAGTGTTTCATCGAAGCCTCTCCTAAAGCTATGAACTCCTGGTACCGAGAAGACGGTAACTGTAATTATTCCAAGTTTATATTTTACTTGACATTTTTAATATTTAATCCCGTACGAAACCTTTTACAAAAACATCCCTTAATAAATTATAATCCGGTTGAAGTGCTGTATTTATGAGGAACCGGGAATATAAATAAACGCAATTTTCTTAAAATTCCAAAATAATGTAGTAGACGTTTTTCGTTTTAAGATACAACATACTTCTTGTAAAGTATTATAAGGTAACTTTATGTTCGTGCCTGAAAAATTAGGAGAACACGTGCAAAAATTTGTCTTTAACAAAATTCAAAAATTCTTTCTGAGACGCTATATCCATATATTATCTTGTTACCTTATTATATACACATATATTATATTTTTACCTGACGTACGTCTCAAGGATCTTTTTATAGCATAACTAGTGTTTTGATATGGCTCCACTCATTTTGAAATCTGTAATATTATAATTGGCCTCTTTCTTTTTTCTCACTTTACTTTCTGAAACTTTCGACTAAATCATTGGAAACTAAACCACGATTTGGACGAAAGTTTATCCCCCCTGAACAAAGACTCATATAAGACACAGGGTGAGTTTTTTACGGAAAATTAAAACCTCTATCAGCTTGGATAATTATAAAAATGAGTCAGGAAATATAGTTATACCTCCTTTAGTCATAAATGCATTTTACACAAGTTCCTCCACTAACAAAACCTTAATTCCACAGCACTATTAAGCGACAAATTGACCGAGAACCCGAAACTTCGTGTATCAGAAACTATAATGAACGAGTACTCACTTTGGATAAACTTGACTATAAAGTCCTTGGCTCTCGCAGACTACGGAACTTATGTGTGCGCCTCTGTCAATGCACTGGGAAAGATGGAGAGCCAAGTCAGTTTGCATAGTAAGTGGCCAATATCATTAAACGACTTAGTTCGATGTAGATAGCAGAACTTAGAACACGCGTTGTTAGTCACAATGTAAGATGGGAACTATAATAATGAGTTGAGAGATTCGAGTTCTTTGTTCAGTATTGAATTGTGTAACATCTTCCTTCTAACCCATTTTCACTCCTGCATAAAAACATGGTTTCTAGTTCATTGAAAATCCATGTTTAAGAAGACCAATGACAAGCTTTTGGCCAAAACCAATATCTATTAAACTTGAATGCAAGACTGCTACGTTAACTGAGCAGTTTGCTAATGGTGTAATTCAGTTAATGCAGGCCTGTGGCTCATACAGGAAAAAAATCACTACTAGTAAACTTACAAAATTAATAAATTTTATTGTATTCAATATATTAATTTTATTAGTAACTCTACATTATTATGTACAATGAAAATATTTGCGAATTGTGTTACCTACAATTATCTATAACAAAAATATATTTCACAGGACTAGAACTAAGCATGAACGGTTTCGGTGCCGAGGAGCCGATGGTCTCGGGCGCAGCGTGGCAGCGCGCACGCAACTCTCCGTCCCACCGCGCGCAGCCGGCCGCGTCGCATGCGCATCAATACTTCCTCGCGCAACACCTACCCCCGCAGTTATACGCTTTACTACTAACTGTGCTGCGATATATACATACCTTCTAAACGTTTGTAAAATGTTCTGTGATCTAAGTTTATGTTGAATAGATGTTGATTAAAAACCTCTTTCAAATTCTTTATCTTCTGTAATCCCAAAACACTGTACTTGAAACTTTTTGTTCAATTACCATCTAATAGAAATTTTCATATTTATTAATACTTACTTGAGTAGATGGCTTATTTTCATATCCGATATAATTTCGACGGCAAACCTTCCTAGAAGGTCGATAATTTGTTGAACAACAATTCTGAATTTGAAAGTTATATCTATTCAACATAAGTTTAGTACGACGAGCAGTATGTGCCACAATATTGTACAGATATTCATGGATATGGCGTGTTAATTGTTGAAATGTTTTAAAAGAACAAAAGAAATTACCCTTCAATTTTATACCTATGGTTAAAGACATAAGGGCTACCGCGAATGAGTTTACCACCAGAATCACTAGTGTAAGGATATTTTATTGGATGAACTATTCGCTAATACTCAGTAATTGGCCAATCAATTTTTGACAGCAACAGTGATTGAACAAAATGTCACTACGCGTTACATTAGTGACATCTGGTGGCTAGAACGGGGTAGCCCTCATTTTTTCTACTGGGTACTTACATACGCAACGCAAAGGATGGATTCAACATTACAATGATTTTCTAAATGATGTATTCAATACTCATAAGATAGATTTCTTAGAATTCTATATAATTTGATTATTTTATTGTATATTTTATTTGAGACATATATGTTATATTTAAAATGAATAATGTCCGTGTATTATGTTATTTTATTCATTTTTTTGCTTTATTTTGTACTGTAAATTTTATGTAAAAGACTATGTTTTGCCTCGATGAAGATTCAACCTTTTTTAAAATGAGTAAAACGTAACCAACAATGTTAAAACTACGACTTGTATAATAAAACCATAGAAATATGAAATTTCAAGTATAATAGCCTGGTTCGGTGTAAAACTAATATTATGTAACTAATAAATATCGATAAAAATATTTAACTGACTAGTGTAAGTTAATATAAGACATTAGTTATATCGTTAGGAACATTTCAAATTTATCAATCGATAATATTCATATTGTTTTCAAACCTATCTTGATACCTTATGCTAATATTACGTTGACTTTGACAATAAATGTGTAATTTATGAAATATAATATTGAAATAAATGTCCTTATGAAACCCTACTTGAATGTGTTGATTTTATATTGAAACTTTTTTGTATGCAAACTCCGACATCAAAAGGTTGCGCTGAATAAATGAGGTTCGTGATGACTAAAGGGAAATAATATACGCATTCATGAGTTCATTTGTATTTAAAAAATACTTAATTTTCTCAGTATTTTTAAATATGGTGAAACTACACGGTTAACTGTGTGGTTGGGCAAACGACTATTATGCCACGTGTTGCGAGTTCAATGTCCGCACAAATTGTAGTCATTCTAGGTCTGATTGAAAAAGGCCCGATTAATTAAGATATAACTACGGGATACAAAAAACGAAACCGACGACACAGATTAAAAGAATATTAAAATTGTTTTCATATACAAGAGTTTCTATAAGATTACCCTAACACCTGATCTTGAAAAGTGTCTTCATTGATCCAATTTAAATAAAATCTTCGAGTCTATCGAAAGAAACTTCTTAAACAGTTCAGCTACACTACATTAATCCAATAAAAAACCAATCTGAAATTCGTCTCACGTACCTTTTTAAATCGAAATCTTTAATCTCCTTAAAGCACCGATTAAAACAAAAAAGCAAACTGATGCAAACCGCGTTTAAAGAATCAATCTGCATTCAAAAAGCAATCTTCTGTATTTTAAAGCTAATTCAATATCGAGCGGAGATTCCATTGACCTATCCCAAACGAGATACGTGGTGCAGGACAATGACGAATGGTCGATCCGACCCGCTAATGCATTTTTCGTGTTGCACTTGAATTAATGTGTCTCCAGTTTCATTTCATGGGGCGCGCCGCCAATGGGCGGGTTTAATAACCGTGAAAAGGTCGTATAAAGTTAATCATTTTATTCGACGTGAAGTTTACTGGCCGTTCGGTTATCTCGGCCCGATACGTGATTCAACCCGTCACTGCACTCGAATACTCGACTTTACGACGGGGCACAAGTATATGTGAATTTTAAGAGGTGACGTCATGCTGTTGACTTGAAGATATTTTACTGTCAAAGTAAATCTTAAGAAATAGCGTAATATCTTAAACATTAATAATTTAAGATTCTTCAAAGTTTACTTCAATTTCTTACCGCTAAAATTATAAATGACTCGCTCTGATCCGAAAATCCATTTAAAATGGTTTCCAAATTACGTGAAAATATTGTTCAGTTCCTTTTAAACGTCTAATAGACCCTGAATCCCTGTTCCCGGTTGTACAAGTTGAAAACTTATTAAAATTCTTTCGGTATCCTCCGGCTCTTGCTTTTTGAGAAAACCTTTTAGTCTATTTTTAAAGTATTTTTAACATACATAATTATTCGTTGGTATAATATTAAGATATCAGTCGTTTATAAATGTTAAAAATGATAATTTTACTTCAGTAGCAATGAGTATGTTAACTAACTAACATAACTTGTGTGGACGCACACAGGAAGTAACTCCGAGGCATATTAACCACAATTAACGTGTCAACGAACCACAAAACTTTGAGATTCATATCTAATGATTATTAAAACAAATAGCAGAGCGCGGCATAACGGTCAAACTAAAAGTTTCATCAAGATAATTTATTCGGGACAGTCGGCCGAGTGGCCCACGCGGACCCCGCAGCTATTTTTTTCTTTATTCGTTCAGGATACGCTCTGAATTTTGGGCAGACGATTTTTCAGAGGGAACTTCAATTGTACAACGCGGTCACGTAGTTTTTTAGCGTCACTCGAGCAGACATGCGCCTGAGTTTAATAATGTCATAGGCAGCCAGCGTGCTTATGTGCACTCAGATTTTGATAGCCACCAACAACGTGATTTTATATAATACACCGCGTTTAGAATAAGTCTCCATTCGTTTCTTATTACTGACTGTTCAAGTATGTATTCCTATTAAGTGTCCTTAATATTGTTATAAGTATCTGCCCTGTTTTTTAAGGGTGTATTTGACAGGCTTTTGCATTAGTTATTTGGCTCCACATATATAGTACGGTAAGTAGTATTGGTCTTGCATCGGCGGGACATGTCAATTCTAGCTTCTGAAATAACTAGCATCGTTTGCGCTCTGCATTCCTCGTAACACTTACCCAAGGAATCAATAAATATTCACAAAACTGCACAGAGTCACGATCGTTTGCACAGCTACCAATAAATCGCATAGACCGCTGATAAACAAACGCGGCCATTGTGATTTGCGGCATTTTGTTACATTCGTCCGCGCGGGCAATGCTGTCATGCGACAATAATTCTTTGAAAACGCTCCTGACAGTTTTGCCGCAAGCGACGCCTCTGCACTAGAATGGGATTTACTATGTCATACGAAACGTTAGCGGTCGACGAGAAATTTTTCACAAAAGCCATTCAAACAAAACCAATGTTAGCTAGCTAAACGGACATTTATAGCTCAATATTGTATACCGGCTTGTCGCCGTTCTTTGCAGGCAAAACAAGATCGAGGCTTTTTGTCACTCGCAATTTACAAACCAAACAATAAACATCAAAAATAATCTTAAAATCCAGATGAATAGCGAAGGCGGGCGTCACGACGGAATAAAAACAAAAACAAACTCAAGGTAAGTCGTCGTGTTATCTTGATCTTAAATAAAACCGATTTCTTTAACCAAAACGTCTATATGAAAAAGAATCTTATCCGGGGTTGGATTCATTAGGATACTTTTTACTCAAGTCAAACAACAAGATATAAACTCGGTAATTACTGTCAAAGTAAGAGGTTTAGCCGATAAATTCATTACTAGATATTGCTTCGTAAGTTACGGAGTTAAAAATAGAGCAAGTTCGTAATTGCAACAGGGTTATTAGATTAAAAAGCTCTCCAAGAAGCAGGAAGTAAATAAGTTACCTACTAAGCTCCTACTTTAAGTTTTTATGTTTCAATAGAGAAAAACTGTTCAGTATTCATGTGGCACAAAGAAAGCTAATTCACTAACGCGACAGAAATCGCTCGAAACCCCTTTTACTTGAATATATAGTGCCTGCTTTAGTTTACATAAAAATAATGTTTTCAATCCTAGAAACGGGCTGTGCTGTGCTTGTACAAAATATATAAAGTGCGCAAAATAGTACCTAATTAAGTTTTATAACATATTTCACAGATAGAAGGTTTTATCATAATCCACCAAAAAGGTTAAAATATTCACATTTGTATGAGATATATTATATATAAAATGGTTGCCGGACCCTGGGAACAGTGGGCCGGAATGAGGACGTCATTCAGTGCGGTGATCAATCTATCGGTCTCGCCGAAGTGACGCATCGATGGACAGCGAAATATATCGATACCGAGACCGGCGCAACCCTACGCAAAAACACGTAAGTATAGACGCGTACATATTTTAGTATCGCTCAATTACTTAGATTGGTACAGTCGAGTAGAGATCCGTTTTACATACTCCCCTCTAGTACATATTGTACGATTTTTCTATTCGCTCTGAGTGTTATTGAGAGTTTCTTCGCCAAGTAGTTTTAGGCTTTGAGATTGGTAGCTTTAACACATAGTGGATAGTGTTTTCGATTCTCATTGAAAACCGAAGATTGATAAAGAGAACGTTCTAAGTAATTGATGTTTGAAAGATTGAAAGTCAGAGAGTGATGTTACATTTTGCTACGTTGTCAATTACACGAAACATAAACCACCCCTATTTTTTCGAACGAAAGGGTAGTTGAAGGAAAATGACTTTGTATTCTTGGCCAGTTATGTTTTGGTGGACGAAAGAATTATAACAGATACATCGTTGAAACAATACTAGACTTCGTGTTGGAAGTCCTATTAATACTTTAACTGATCTGAAGAGAACGAAACACCTCAAAAATCTTACTTAAGTACACAAGATCAATAGGTACGTCTCAAGTCATTTGCAGGGCTTACTGGAATACGGCTTAATTTACATATACATAATATCACGCCTTTTATCCTCGAATACAGGCAGAGATGCACATTATGCCACTGTACAATGTAACACCCACTTTTCACTACTTATGTTATGAGTCCCAAGTAATAGCCTATTTCCATGTACCGGGCACAATTCCAGACTACGGGGTACTACTCAGATTTTTTTTAATACCCAGTAATACTTTGTCCGACCCGGAAATCGAACCCGAGGCCCCTTGCCCAGCAGTCGCACTTGCGACCACTCGGCCAACGAGGCAGTCTTAATTTAATCCAGATAAATTGATATTTGTTACACAGTTGAAATTATGCCTTTTGCACGAGACAACCCTACGGGCTAGCGATCACTTCGCGAAGAACACAGTCAATCAGCCGAACCTAGTTAAGTATTCCCAACTAATTCTAGAAAAGAAAACAGAAAGTAATATAGAACTATGTACATTCACTTATTAATTTAGATTGTATTAATATAAAATTTAAAGCCTAGTTCTAAAGCAAAACTTTGATTAACGAATCCCGACGAACATTAAAGAACAAAACCAAACATTT